ACATTTACCTTGCAAAATAAATGGCATTTTATAAATCATCATATAAGCTAAAATCAATGACATTATAGAAAACGAACTCGATGCATGTTTGATAAGATACCTAATAATCCTGGGTAACCAATTTGCACAGAACTAATAATAAATTTGACTAAATCCAAATCCTAATAAAAAATAAGCTAGATCGATTGAATAAAATTCTAAGAAAACGAACTAGATTTCTGAGACCAGTTTCACTTAAATCAAAAAGAATAACAATTTTTTCACCTGGATGACGTCGAATATGTCTTTCAAAAGTATATGTTATAAAACGTTTCACAGCTTCATTATCTTCTTGACCTTTCTTAAATGTTCGAACATCAAAATGAACTATAGAGAATAGAAAATTGAAATCTAATAAGACAAAAAAAAAAGAAAAGATTTCCGATTTACGTAGTGGATAATTGCTCATGTCACGATTTTTAAAATAGATTCCATTGCGATCGAAATAATCGGCCGGAAATTCATTTGTTGAGACGTCTATTAGAAAGAAAGAAAGAAAATATATATATATATATATATATTTACGAAATTATGAAGAAAAATATTAGTTCTATTTTAATTTCAATTGTACCATAAACATTATGACTTTTTCTCCAACTCATTGATATATTAAAAATTTGAAGTGCTCGATCTGCATCGAAATCTGGACCAAATTGTCCATGTTGAACATACATTAATGTATATTCATCGACTTCATTGAAACGTTGAATATCATGTAGATCATATAGTTCATTCTCGTTAATTTCTTCTAATAAAAAGTAAATATATTAAGTTATGTTTTTGTATACAATGAATTGAATCGTACTTTCAAAATGTTTATTGACTAGTTCACGAAATCTATCAACCTTTGAATAATAAAATAAGGTTATTTAATTAAAATAATATTTGATAAAATTATACTGAAATTAGTGTTGCAAATGTTGGAATCGATGATGCCATGTGACAAAGTGGTATAACACAAAAAAAGAATAAGATGTGATACACTGAAACGAGATAACAGATACAGAAACGAACCAATATAAATCAAACATGAAAACAATAATATACGATGATAGATATATTTATAATTGCTTTATAATTCATCTCAATTACTAAATTTTTTTTTTATAGTATCTGAAAAAATAATAAATAATAATTTTTGTTTCATTTTTTTATTAATTTCAATAATTACAGGCAATTCATATTTCATATATACTTATATTGAATTTCCATATCTTTATTAATGTTTCATTTAGATCACAAAGAATGAATACATTTAGTATTTCCGGAAAGCTTTCTAATCACAGAAAATTTTCTATAATTAACTGAAAAACTTTAAATATTGATTTTCTTCAAGGAAAAAAAAAATTTTTTTTTTATATAGAATATTTATCGAACTCAATGACCTAAGTTTTTTATTATAATGACGCAGAAAGTCAAAGTAATTTCTATTCAAACAAAAATAAATAAATGATTAATATTTATATAATAAATAAGGAAAGCATAGGAAAAACAAACAAACAATTTTTAGATAAAAAATGAAAAAGAAAACCATAACGTTTTTGTTTTTATGCATATGTATTCACACCATTTCTATAAAAAGGTAAGATTCGAAGTAAGGATAATGCCATCTATGTTTATATAAGTTTGAATAATTTGTGATCGTTAAACATTTAGATGTAGAATTTTCTTCTCATTAATATTACTAACGAACATATATAAGAAAATAAATATTTGCATAACAAACAAAAAAAACATACACTTACATTCAACTTTAGTTTTTTTTTTCTTATATTCAACATGTTACGTGATTTTATTCTAATTTCATATATTCTAAAAAAAATATAAAATAGATTAGTTCTTTTAATAGAAATTTTCAATATTTCTTTCAAAATTTATAAAAGATATTCTCCAATGATAATCAAAACACTAGACATCACTTCAAAAACTAATAACATATTATCTTTAGTATTTAGAATAATCATTAGAGTTAATAACTCAATATTCTAAGTTTTTTTTTTCTAGTATATAGATTTCTATACTCATGAGAATGTAAAGACTAATCATTCGTATGGAAAATTTTAATGATTCTAGTAGTCTATATATGATTACAGTAATAAAGCGTTGAAGAAAATTTAACATGTCTATTATTCTATATATAAGTATACTATCTGTAAATCTATTATGATAAAAAACATTTTAAATATCTTCTCGTTTCGTTCGAATATATATTTAGAAAAATAAATTATTTAAATATCAAAGAGAGAAAATAGATGAAAACTAAAGCATGTTTAGGTAAACGAACATCATTAATTTCTTTTTTTTATTTTTTGGAATATTATGTGTGATTCGATAATTGAATCAGTTTCTTTCACTCACATCAGTACACATCATCATCGGCAATTAATTCAGATTGAATGAACAGTGCGATTGATAAATTTAATAGTTCGATTGAGCTTCAATTAATAGCTGTAAATGAATGATTTTCTACACTACTGAAACAAAAGGATCTGTACATAAATATATATTTCTCATAGCTAAAACAAAGACTTTCTCATTAAAATCTATGGTTGTTTATATACAAGTATAGAAATCAAATGAATTAATAATAGAAAACAAAATAACTTATGAGCTAATGCTGAATAATAAATTTAGTACGAGCGTTTATCCTTTATTGATAAACAACAATCGAATAAACAAGAAGTATATTTAAAGTATTGGACTCTTTTTATTTATTTATTCAATATACACCTCTGAACAAAAGTCTTCTTCCCTTCATCCTTTTGTTCGTATAGAAACCCTTGAGCCTCAAGTGAATGTTGGTTACATGAATGATGTAAATACTGTATTCTAGTATAGTGTATGATTGATTACGACTTATTTCAATGAAGAATGTACGTCATTCTATACAATCGGTCAATACGACAAATTAGTTGGTCGATAAAATCCTTCATGGCTAGGTTATCTCTTTTTGTGGTATTTTCTGAATGTTTTACTAGTTTTATTTTATCTGTATTTGTATAATCTGATATGCCGTATTCTCGGAAGAGCTTCGCGTCAGTGACGAAAAGAATTTAATGATCTAAATCAGTAAAACAGTAAGCAGATACGAAAAAAAAAGAGATAGCCTGATCGTGAAACATTCTGTCAACCAACTTATCTGTAGTGTTGCTCAATTCTATTGAAAGACATTTTTCATTGAAGTAAATTATCATCAATCATACACTATACTACAATAAAGTACTCAAGCCATTCTTGTTACTAAAATTCACTTGAAATTAAAGAGATTCTATATGCAAAAAATGATAGGGGGAAGGAAAAGGAACTTTTATCTAGAGGTGTAATTCGATATTGATCATGTTATATACACCTTAAAGCATATAGATCATTTTCATCAAAATATCGAGTATCATATTTATTACTTAATTTAATAAATTCTAATCGAAAAACTCGATAATTATTCCAAAAAAATCTATCATACTTGCAAAAAATTAATTCTCAATAATTTTCATTCTAAAGAAAAAAATCTTTCAAAATTTTTTTTAAAATATACTATTGTTAAAGTTTGAAAGATTGTTATTGATAATATCATTGAACAAAAAGAAATGAACTATACTAAAATAAAATCTCAAAATTCAAACTTTAAAACAAAATTTTTCGTATTATGTACAAATATCAACTACTTTTCAATGTTCGAAAATACTATAAAGGACATTTAATTGTGTCACATATAAAACTCTATTTTAATACATAACAATCGATATATATTCAATTCTTATGTTGTGCAAAGGACGCGTAGTCATCAAGTATGAATCATGAGAACACTGTAGAGTACGAAAAGTATAGTGTTACTGTATGCGCACAAACAAATATAAATATAGGTAAGCAAAGAATATGATAATTTGTTTTATATAGACATTTAAAAATATATTACTAATATTCACCTGAATCATTGTAATAATATTATGAAAATAAATAGAATATATACATTTGACTTTTGTCCAGTATATGTTTAATATTAATATTTAAAAAAAATTTTTTCCTGTCTAACAAATGATGAAATAGTTAAACCATATGATAAAAAAATTTCTCACATAGATTTCAAAATATTTCTATTGATTAATTACCTTTAATCTTTTTTAATCATATCTGTTAAATTTCTCTAGCAAAAAGAAAAAGAAAAAAATTAGAATTATTTTCAAAAAGAATTACATGATTTACTTTTTTGTATAATTAAGATTCATCACTTGCAGTACCACCCATTGCTTTTGATAATTGATCAAGTGAATATATACTGCGTAATAGTTTTTTCATCAACAAATATAACAGCATTTTGACCGTCAGTTGGTAACCATGTTTTAATTAATTTTTAAACTGCTAAAAAAGAAAAAAGAAAATTAACATATAAAATATCTTATCGCACGTATAAAAATAGATTCTTTTTACCTTGTAAAATACATGGAAGTTTACAGACCAACATATGAACTAAAAAAACTATAAATCATCATTCATTAAAACAAACAAATAAGCATACAAAGTAATCCTGGATAATAATACGTCAAACAATTGATAGCAAATCTAATAAGATCATAATCCTTAATAGAAAAAAAGCTTAAATAAACAAAAAAAAAAGTAAATCATATATATATATAAAACTAACCAAATGTTTGAGACCTGTTTCACTCAGATAAAATAGTATAACAATTTTTTGACCAAGATGAGTTTGTACGAATCACATAATGTACTATACAATAGAAAAATTAAGATATTAAAGAAAAATAGAAACATATTAGAATTAAACTTACATATTCAATAATTAATAATATCATGATTTTTATAAAATATTGCATTTTAATCAAAATAATATGATGGAAATTGATCAATTGATACATCTAAAATAATGATCAATTCATTTTTACAAATAAACATTAATCTTCTCTCAAATAAAAACAAAATTTACCATAGACATTATGTTGTTTTCGCTATGTCATTGTTTCATGAAAATGACGAAAAGCTTTTGGTTCATCAAATGTTTTATCATGCTGTCTATATTGTATAAACATAAATGTATATTCATTGATTTCATTGAAACGTTTGATATCACATACATCATATTCTTCACCATTACTAATTTGTTCTGAAGAGAATCAGATAAAAAAAATAGAAAACAACACGAAATAATAAATAATTACTTGAAAAATGTTCATTAATCGCTTTTCGAAATGCTTCAACCTTTGCGCAAAAAAAAACCGAGCACTAAAAAAAAGAAACAAAATCATATTTTTAAAATTTACTGTAATTTATGTTTAAAATGTTGGAATTGCTATAACCATATATTGTCACTAGAAGAAATGAGTATACGTGAGAAAAGCAAATAAAAATTGATAGTGGAAAGATGGTTAAAATAATAACACAAGATAAGAAAGAAATATCTTGACAAATTTTTTTGTTTTGTCAATGCTTATATAAAAATTCCAAACGGATCTCGTCATTTGACCTAATTCAAATTGAATATTTCAACTGATGACTTTGGACTATGTTTTTTTTGGTGTATCAGCAACATTTAATTAATAATTAATATCAAAGAGAAAAAGTCATGCATTTATAGCATAGTTTAAAATACTTATATTATCAGAAGTGCAATAGAACGGTGTAAAAAATAAACAATAAATAAGAAATGCTATGTTAAATTTTTATGTATTAGATCAAAATAAATTTCTCATAAAATATTTCGCATATACACGGATTGCAACATTCGTCAGAATGTTAGCGACAAGGTTGTTTAAACAAGGACGTTCCTTACGTCATTTGTCAGGACATTCCAATGTATGCATACATCCTTTTAAACACTTCATATTATTATAGACTTTCGAACAAAATTTCTCTTCTTAAGTCTAACAGACTTTTACTAATATATATTACATATATTTGAATATGAGTTTTCAAATATTATAACATTGTTTACTTTGACATCATCTATATTTAGTTATGATAAACACGTGATGAATGAATTTTTAAATAGTATCACAAGTCGTTTTTATCAATACATTAGAGTTATGCAAAAACTTGGATATTTTCATACATACACAGTGTTTAGTTCGTAGGTCAATTTGTTTGATTAATATGTTTTGAATATTGTTGACTGGATTTTATCACTTAATATAAGTCAATAGATAACTAAGTCGAACAATATGCTTTATAACGCTTTTTATTGATATTCGAGTAATCTGTAATAGAGAAAACAATGTTTTCTTTTTTCCATACATTCAAGATTCTATCAGTCGAAAATTTATAAAAAAAATTTGTAGTTCATCGATTTGTCATTCTATAAAAAAACCCATCAAATCTTCAATTTAGTCTTATATCAAAAAAAGATAGTTTGTTTTTCCTTAAATTCTCATTTCATAGTTTTTTTTTTAAATAAGAAGCGCGTATAATGCTACACAAGTGTCTATCTAACAGCTAAATACACCCGACAAAAAAAAATATCATTAAATAACAGAGAAAATGCGAACAAAGAATCAATGAATATATTTTTATATATATACAAAGTGTTCATGGAAATCAATTTAAGATTCCTAATAATCTTTATATCTGACTGGAAAAAAAAAGAATGTTTGATTTCTTTTTGTCGTTGTATTCTTTTGGTTCAAACATAACCATAACGATCATGATAGTCACAATGAGCATCACGAATTATTTTTCGCTCACTCTCCGATAATTTTGCTTGTCGAGGTACAACAACAACTGTTGCTGTTTCATGTGCCTTATCATCCATTTCCTTGTCATCTTTATCATCACCATTTGCACGTGATGCTTCAATAACACGTTGAGCTGGCCACATTTTTGTACTAAATTATAATAAATAAATAAAAATAATTTCAAATTTATCTTTCATAGAACATAGAATAAAAAAACAAAACAAAAAAGAAAAATCAGATTTTAACTTACACTTGATCAGGTCCAATAGCTTGACCAGGTCTTAATGAATTAATTTCTTTTGATATATGTTCAGCATGAATACTTTCAATACCCATTAAACGAGCAAGATGTTTTATTTGTTCAACTGGTTCATTATGTATACTTTCATAACGAAAATCTCCTTTAGCAATTGAACGCCAATATTCATATGCATTCATATATGCTTTAAGTCTTGATAGTATAACTCCAATATCATGTTTCATCCAACCTAAATTATTAGTAGAACTTCTTATTTCTTTCTTTCTTTTTTTTGTTTTGATCTATTTTTCAAAAATTAAGCTTTTTACCAATAGTTAAACAATCATCAATAACATCACGTAAATCTCGATGAGAAACAAATACTATATAACCATGTCCAGACTGATCAAGATTTTCTGCCCAATTAGAATCAGGTATGCGCATTGTACGTACAACTAATGGACGACCACACGCTTCTATTAAACGTGTTTCAATATCATTTTTTGTTATATGATTTAAACGATAACTATCTGCTGGACCAAATGGAGAATCTTGATGTATAAGAAGTAAACGAACAGCATTGAATAACCATGAAGCTCCTTTAAATAAAAAAAAAATAAAAAAATAACAATTTTAACAAAAGAAAAAAGAATTAATTATAAATAGTACCAGATCGTTCTGGTCCAGCAATAATATAAACCTATATGAACGTATCAAAATGAAAAATGAAATTGATGATTGATTTATTTACTTACTGCACCAAAACGATTTGATTTCTTTGTACTTAATTTTAATCGAAGTGATTCACGATATTTTTCAACTAGAAAATCAATATGAATAAACTTAGAATTAGAATATTAAACAATGAACTTACTTGCTTGTTTTTCTTCCTCTGTTTGATGACGATAATTACATAGTGCATGACAATATTTTCCTTGAATATAATCAGGACAATCAAATAATTTTGGAAATATTTCTTCCATTTATTTCTTTAAATATAATCAATCAATATTAGCTTTGCACAATTGTATCTATAAGAAGGCAAATGAAATGAGAGACTTTTCATTATTAATCTAAATTGAATTAAAACTGATTGGTTAGCTTGTGGCTTCTTACAATACTTTTCATAGATGTCGGGTATGAATTCTAACACTTGATGAGAAATTCTCTATTTCATTATATACACGAATTGTGAAAAAAAACATTACAAACATACCAAACATTATGTGCATCAAATGCTTTGAGATTTGTGTGAGAAGATTTATCTTCCAATATTATTTACAATAAAAAAATTCATTTCCTTTTTTAGCTCATGTTATCTAAAATGTCGATCTAATTATGATAGTGAAAAAAAAACAAACGATTGCTTGACCAGAAATTAGATTACGAAAAAATGTCTCTAATATATTTGAAACAATATGATTTATGATAGAATCAAACTTTTACATGTTTATCTCATATCATAGAAATCGATGAACGAAGAAAACCAATAAAACGCTGAAACTCTGCTTCACAAAAACGAAAGCTCGTCAAGATTGGGGAGTCGTCTCCTCCGATCCTAACTCGCTTGCGACATTCCTGAGTCTGCACTTCATTGCAATGATGATCATCGGAATTATTACCGAAGCTATTGGCGATAGTCTGAGAACATACCTACAGTATCTTCTCCATATGGTAAAGATTCAATTAAGTAAACGAAAATAATGATTGCCGAAAAGAAATATTACTGATATAGGTCATCAAAAGAAATTCGACGCTTTCACTCTCCTGCAATCTCGTTTTTGGCAATAGAATACACAACCGGATTTAAACAATTAACTACAGTTTATTTTTTTTCTTAAGAAAATTTTCAATTTTTTTTTCTCGTCTAAGAAAGAAAATCATTTCAAAAAAAATTAGCAGCCATCAATATATTCCTGATACAGCTGTATACATGTATAAACTTATATTCACTACAAGAATTTCCGTGAGAAACACACGAATGAACTACATACATTAGAATAGAACAAGGCAACAAACAAACAAACGAACGGAGAAAAAGTAACTCAACGAGTTAAAAGAAAAACACATTGACGTACTATCTGTAAAAACAACTTGGTTTAGAGCATAAACTGCTGTTACCAAAACGAAACAAAACAAACTTAGAGAAAAAATTGTTTTTTAAGCAAAACAGATAGAAGAAAAAAAATCACTTTTTTTTTGATAATGCATACTGTTTTATGAGTGCAAACAAATACTCGAAAAACAAAAAAAAAAAAGACAAAACAAGTTTTTATGTTCGAAGCGACGATTGGAAATGACGTCGATTAAGAGGCATTGTTGACTTTTTGTCTAAAACACTATTTGTTAATTCAGCTTTTTTAGCTCTTTCAGCAAAATTTTCATTTGTTTCTCGTAAATATTCTCGAAGATCTTGTGAAGATTTCGCCAATGATCGAGACTATTATTAAAAGAAAACAATTAATTTTAAATAAAACTTAAGAAAAAAAATAGGTAAACAATCAAAATTCATACTAAATGAGTTGTCTCTTTTTTATCTTTCACAAAATGTTTTGTACGTCGATCTTTGTTCTTTATTTTATATTGTAATTCTGCACGGTGTTTTTGTAAGTCTTGTAATTGCCTATTAAAATAATTAATAAAAATTGAAAAAAAGAAATAGAAAATAATTTCTTAACATACATTTCATAATTTTTTGCTTGTAATGTTTCATAAAGTTGTCGTGTATGATGAAGTTTATTAATTTTACGACGAATTTCATTTTCTCGACGTTCATCAGCTTTTGAATGATCCTATATAGATAAAAATCAATATTTTGAGAAGATTTCAAATTTTATGATTTATATACAGTAGTTCCTAAAAGTATTCATCCCGATTTTTCTTTTTCAATTTTTTCTACTATCGTAACCACTAATACAAGTCCAAATAGTGATTTGTATTCTTATTAGCAGTTATGATAGTGGAAAAATATTATAAATAAGCCCATAGGCGGTGCGCCATAGTAGCGAGGGGAAGCAATTGCTTCCTCTAACAAATCTTTCGGCTAGCAATAAAAATTTATTGCTTCTCCTAACTACTTCCATTTTATAGATAATCTAAGCGTAACTTTACTACTTATACGGGTTTAAGCGACATACTAGCAAAATAATATGCACAATTGTTTCTTCTAGGAATATTTGAAGAAGCAATAAGTTATTGCTTCGCCAAAAAATTGACGTTGTTCCGCTCATAGCTCTTGATAAAAACGTAACACTAATCTCAAACTCTTAAAGCCTATTCCTTCAAAAATCAATTTCAAGGTCACGTATATGCAATTCTTCGGAAATTTTCAAAGTGCATTGGGTCCAAGTTGAAGATGGTGTGGCAAAATTTTCAGCTCTATACCATGACGTTT